GTTTGCGGAAGGGTGAAATAGTTTTGATGTGCCCCCTTCTGTACTATGAGGCTACGAATGACCAGAAGGGGCAAAAAAGGAGGCTACGAAAAAAAAAAGAAAAAAAGAAAAGGAGGCTACAAAACCAATCCTCTTTGCCAGTGGAACCTCGCCCCTTTGGTTCGAAATGAAGGTTATGTAGCAATGGAGAAGAAGGAAAGTACGGTCTGGGAGAAAGTGGAGGCGGAGTATAAGCTGAAGGGCTTTGAAAAACTGGGTAGATGGAAGAAGACAGGAAGTGCGGGGTGTGCATATGTTTTGCAGAAGCAAAAGGATTTGTCTTGCTTTTCAGCCCATTTGCCCAACTTTCTCGGAACCAACGAATCATGTGTGTAGGAAGGTTGTGACTAAGGCATTGAATGAGTGAACCATTTGTTGAATGTCTTACGGGAATAGGCACTTTTTTTTTTTTAAAGGTCCATGTAGTGGTAGAGGGTGGATGCTAAGCATCGGGAGGTGATTGTCGTCGTACTCAACCAGTGAGGGGATCGGATGGCTTGTGGCAACTCCAAGGACAGTCTTTCCTCTAGGGGTTGAACGTGCACTTTTCAATCCTAACACAGTCAGCAGTTTGGCCGGGAAATTGAAGAAAGCCAATACGCAGATGAAGAAGGCATGTCGTGATACTTAGGGTAATGTCTGCTTCATATGATATCAAGGAGATGTTTAGACGACTTCCCAATCACGAAATCTGCCGCGCATTGGACTGGATCTTAGAATGCTTTTGTGACATCGAGGTAGTCAGAGTAAACGAGAGAGGAAAAGGTGCTTCGTTTGGTAGAATGGACTATGCTAAATGGTGGACAGTGTCGTTGTCGAACATTCGTGGTTTTGTTGATTTTGAGCTTTCCCATACATATACTAAAGCGTTTGGCATGCTGTTGCAGCGAGTTTTTGGTTTGCCCATGGGAAAGAGCACCAGCCTGCCACTAGCATGCGTAATGTGTGCGCATGCTGAGTGGCGGTTTCTGGTCTCCTTKGGCTCATACGAGCGTTTGGTTTACGACGTTCGATTCATGGACGATGTATGAATCTTTCATAGACGCCTATCAGAAAGGAGATACGTAGAGCTACATGAAAGCGGACAAACTCTCCGAAAAGGCTTTGAGAGGTGCTATCCGAAGGCCCTTCCTCTGAAGAGGACCGGCGATGGGACTGGGTCATCGGAGTTTTTGGGTTGTGCGATGGGGGTACAACCAGAGTACCCATATCTGGGATGTTTCCAAAAAATAAAAAACGAGCCTACGATTTTGTCTAGGGATAGGCTGGTTTTCCGGAATGGCCAGGACTTTCAGTCCTGGTAGGCATTGCAGAGAACGAAAGATGGCATCGATCACGGGCTGGTTGTTCTGGATTGACAGAAATAAGACGGTAAGGAAACAAATTCCGGGACAGGTCCTGACACACTCAGGAAAGAGTTCCCAACGAATAATTTTTCTGACTGATTTCTCGTGAATGTACTGTCGAAATTTGCAAGGAACCGAGACTGTTTTCGGGCCTTGATGGCCAGTTTGCCGTGTGAACAGTTCGAATAGTTGGCTATATACGATATATAGTTGTTTTAGACTATAGCCTAGTCCTCTTTGTTTGAGATGACATCGGGTGTGATAACCCGGTTTACGGGAAGTGGCACGACAAAGAGGCAAGGGACGAGGGAAAGGGTTGTCGAATAGTTGGCTATATATAGTTGTTTTAGACTATAGCCTAGTCCTCTTTGTTTGAGATGACGCTGGGTGTGATAACCCGGTCTACGGGAAGTGGCGCGACAAAGAGTCAAAAGACGAGGGAAAGGGTTCTCGAGTTGTCGTTTTCACGACCTTTTGGATTTGTTACCTCACAATAAAGTTCATGTCATTCCCTCGGACTTTGATCTGTCTGTTGATGGTGTGTTGTTCCATTCACACCAGTTTGCAAACGGGACAATTACTGGATGTCGTTTTTTTTTTTTTTTTTTTTTTTTTTTTTGGTTCTTTTCAACTATCGCCGCTCCCCTTCGCCGGTTGCTAAAGAAAGAAGCAATCTGGTAGTGGGACAAAGATTGTACGTCCGCGCTCAAGAAGCTAAAGCGCGCGTTGACAGAGTACCCTGTCCTCAAAGTAGCAGATCCGTCTTTGCCATTTGTCCTCACCACGAACGCGAATCGGTATGGTATAGGCGCCGTGTTACAGCAAGATGACGGCAGTGGCTACAGATCCGTAGAGTTCATGTCAGCGAGGATGCCCTCAAAGAAGGTAGCTACCTCGACTTACGAGAGAGAACTCTACGCTCTCAGGCAGGCCTGAGAACACTGGAAGCATTACCTGCTTGGGAGGCATTTCAAAGTGTATTCAGATCACGAGACTCTTAGGTGGCTGAAGACACAGGCCAAAATGACACCTAAGTTGACTAGGTGCGCCGCTGAGATAGACCAGTATGACTTTGAGCTCAAACCGGTCAAGGGCAAGTACAATGTGGTTGCGAATGCTCGAAGTAGGAGATCAAACTACTTTGGAGCCATAGTTCACTATCTGGATGTAGGGACAGACCTGCAAGAGAAAGTAAGACAGGAGTATGCGCATGACCCTATCTATAGCGACCTCCTCAAGAGAGTTAAGGAGGCCCCAAAGATAGAACCACACTATCGCATGGCAAAAGGATTGTTGTTCGAGAAGACCGACGTAGTAGATCATTTGTGTGTTCCCAATAGTGAGGAGATCCGCAACTTGATCTTAGGGGAATGCCACGATACAGAGGGACATTTCGGTTGGCAAAAGACTCTCGCCAACCTGATGCATGCGTACACATGGCCGGGAATGAAAGTTGACTACATAAAGTATGTTCGCAGTTGCAAAGTTTGCCAAAGGAACAAGACAACGACGCGTGCCCCTCTAGGTCTTCTTCGACCCTTGCCCATTCCTGACCAACCTGGAGATTCAGTCTCCATTGACTTCATGGACGCTGGTGTCAAGAGTAGGCACGGCAAGAGCCAAGTCATGGTCATAGTCGATAGATTTAGCAAATATGCAGTTTTTGTTCCGTTGCCTGCAGAGGCACACACTGAATTAGTCATTCAGAAGTTTTCTGACCATTGGGTTAGTGATCACGGGATTCCGCTGTCTATAGTTAGCGATAGAGAAACCCGGTTCACCAGTCAAAACTGGCAGGAACTCATGAAAGTCTATGGGTCAAAGTTGCTAATGTCGTCTGGCCGGCATCCCGAGACTAACGGTCAGACCGAACAAATGAATAAGATCCTGCAACAAGTTCTGCGTATGTACATTAGACCCGATCAAGTCATTGGGATGAGATGTTGCCTAAGGTTTCATGCGTCAAAGTTGTTGCCATGTGTCACAAGTCAACAGTTTCCATCTAGAAGGTTCATGATCCCCCCAGACATGGACGGAAGGTACGACATTGACGGCATTGTCAGTGAAGACGTGTTTAGAACAGGAGGTAGAGGTCGTCCACAGAAACAGTATAAGGTCCGGTTTGCTTATCAGGAACCAGAGGACGACTGCTGGTTTACTAGAACAGAACTTCTAGAAACAGCTCCCGACATAGTTATAGCCTACAAGAGAGATAAGAAAGGTAAAGGTCCTGCCTTGGAATGAGTTATTCTCGGAGGACCTCGAATTTAGGCCGGCGGGAGTGAAACGGTATTCACCTGCTAGCAGTAGCAAATGCAGATCCCAGGGCTCGATCCCTAGACTTTACCTTACCTGTGTACATTACCTGCGTCGACCCCGAGAGTTGAACCCGTGACCTGTGTATTCGTAACTGTTGGTAGACTGTCGTAGGGTCTGTAGGTTGTAGGGGTTCGATCTGTAGACCTGTCAGATAGAGGTCGTAGGGAGTTCTAGAAGTCGTAGCTGTAGGACTCCTGAAAGGTCAAGGTCGTAGCTGCTACAGTCCTGAAAGGTCAAGGTCATAGCTGCTACAGTATTCGAAAGGCCAGGACTACAGACTTCCGGAAGGTCCCAGTAGTGGCCTTTCGAAGTTGGTTCACGTCTAGACAGAGGCAAGTGGGCAAGTGGTGGAGTCCACCCTTGCTGAGTCAGCGGTACCAGTCCCAGTCAGTCGTAGTCCAGTCAAGCAAGTACCGTATGGGACTGTGTGCACCACGGGCATGGGAAAGGGCCAGACCAACGAGTTACAGAAGTATAAATCAAGAGGCAGCGCCCAGCCATTCATTCATTCCTGCGTAAGCCATGCGGAAGCGCTGCTACAGCGACTTGTGCGAGGCGGTCTGCAGTATGCCCGAAGACGAAGTGGGCCAGAAGGAGAGTTTAGCCATAGCGGTAGAGGTAGTAGCGGCCATAGTCGCCATAGCTGGAGGAAGGGTGTAGCATATGTGTGCGTGTGTACAGTGTGTCGCGTGTGGGATATCCAGGGTGATCCTAAGTTGAGTGTGTGTGAACAGCAGAGTAGGGCACAGTGACGAACAGAGAGTTGTATAGGCGCTGAGGCGCCATAGCCATCTGAAGCGGGCTTGTATCTGAACTGTGCTCTTGGTTACCATATCTCTGAGCTTTGAGTGGGCGCTTGTTGCCGATTTGCTGTGCTGCCTGTTTACATGCATGTGAAGTGTGAAGGAAAGGGAGTCTGATTGCATCCCTTAAAGTTTGGACCACTTTCGATTACGCATGTCATCCTTCAGTATGTAGGGACCGTGCTAATTTGCTACTTAGTACTTACCCTTCCCTGTATCTTTCCAATTTTAACGGATGTCCTTCGCGAAGGACGTTGTCAATAGAATCGTGGTGTTTTTTCTTTGTGTCCTTTCTTTTTTTTCCTTTTCTTTTTTGAGCGTCAATGGCTTTCTGGATGATAGGATCTCATCTAATGGATGCTGAGTCAAAAACAAAGGAAAAAAAAGAAGAAGAAAGAAGAAAAAGAGAAAAAAGAAAAACAAGAGGAAAGACGGATCTTTATCTAATAATGGATAGCCGCTGGCTGTCCAAAATCGGTGTCTTTTCTGGCAGGTTCTTTTCCAAGCAAGCTGCGTCTTGATGAGGTCGGGATCGGGATCGGGATAGTTTTTGCAGGCAGGTGGAGAGGCTCGAGGCTTGATGCCAGCGGTTTGCTGACGTGGCAGATGCAGTCAACTCTATTTTGAACTGGAGGCCGAGGCGGCAAGGAAAAGGGACGGGAAGGGAAGTCTCTTTTTTTTTTTTTTCCTTGTTTTTTGAAAGGCTGGAAGGGAAGCCTCTGATTGAGGCAGGCGCGGGCTTTCCACGCCACGTGTCGTTTCGGAAACAGGGGTCATGGCAAAACCAAATGAGAGTTCGAAGGGTGGTGGTGGGGGCAAAAGGCCTATTTCAGAGAAGAAGGGGGCTACGCAAACCCATCTTACGGAAGAGGACAGAGCCCTGGAGGAGGAGAGCAGGCGGCTTTTGCGAAAGGCAACTGCTATTGGAGGACTGTCTACAGTTAAATCTTCTGGTGCATCCTTGTTAAAGCCTGCTAAGAGTGAGTGTACAGTGTACACATTTATCTCTGTGGAGGGAAGGGGAGGGAGAGAGAGGAGGGTTGGGGAGGGGGGTTGAAAGCAAAAAAGAAAAGCCTGAAAAATAGGATGGCTGTTGTTTTTTTTTTCCTGTTCTTTGCTCGTTGATGCAGATGGCCCCTCCACTTTTTTTTCTTTTTTGTAACTCAAGGAAGGAAGTCGTGGGAAGCCAGCCACCGGTAGGTAGAAGGGAACCTTGTTAGAGGTCTGCCCACATCAAATCTGTGAGCCATGACCTTATCTCATCTTATCTTCAGACGCCACTAAACCACCACTAAACCTCCCCTAAACCACCAAAAACCGTCGCCAAACCACCTTTAAACCGCCCCTAAACCACCATTGTATCACCACTAAACCTCCCTTGAATCACTACTGAAGCACTACTGAACCACTACCGAACCACTACTGAACCACCACTAAACCACCACCACTTAGCCACCACTAAACCTCACCTGAACGGTGAACCACTGAGTCATTGAACCACCACGAAGCCAGCACTAAACCAGCACTAAACCGGCTGTAAACCACTGTTAAGCCACCAATGAACCTCTCCTAAACCACCCCTAAACCACCACTGAGACACTGCTGAACCACCAGTACACCACTACTGAACCACCAGTACACCACTACTGAGCCACCACTAAACCGCCTGTAACCCACTGCTAAACCTCCTTTAAACCACCTCTAAAACCGCCCCTAAACAACCACTAAACCACTACTGAAGGAGGAGGATGCAGGATGAGGAGGAGGGAGAATGTGGCATACTGGGTAGCCACACGGGCCTACAGGGCCCGTCCCGGACATTCAGCCTAAAAGCCTAAAACTTAGGGCTTACAGGCCCCGTTCATTTCAGCCTGAATGCTGATAAACGAGGGCCTGCAGGCCCTACCTCGTTTCAGCCTATTTCTGGGTCTTTGCAGACCCAGAGTTTCAGCCTGAAACGGAGGGCCATTTTCAGGCCCTCATTATTTCGACCTGCCCCTAAGACTCAGGCACGGAAACAGGAATGCGGAACAGGCCCAAAATAGCCTGTTCCTCACATGCTCGAGCAGGAGCTGCAGCTGCAGCCCCTGCCTTCCGTCGGCAGGCTCAAGAGGCACACCCGTAGTACAAAGGAAGGACCCATGCACTTCACGGGTAGTCAGTAGGAGAGGTAGTCTTCAGGATTCGGCCGCAGCACTCAGGAGGAGCGCTGCAGTAGTCTCCAGCGCTAGGCCGTAGTAGTAGAGTTAGCTGTAGTCTTCGGCGCTGGGCGCCATAGCTGAGCTGTAGTCTTCAGTGCTGGGCGCTGGTAGGTGGTAGGTCGTAGAGTGGAGAGAGGCTGGCGGAGGCCAGCGTTACTTAACTGTGGCGCCATCGCTCCAGCTCCATCTTCGTGGTACCTGCATCAAGGCGCCAACTTCACAGGTTAGTACTGGACACAGAGAGAGAGAGAGTTCTTCTTCTTCCTCTTCTAAGTCCACCTTCTCTTCTCACCCTCTCGC